AATACTAACTTACTCTGAACAGAGCTCAAACATACTGTAAAGTAATTGGAATTGCCATGGATTGAAAACAGATGCGAGTGCACATCTTGACACATAAACACACCTTATGGAAAGTGACATGTGAAAAAACTGTGTAGGTAATGTTATAAATCATATGCATCATATGCATGCACTTTGTTTACTGTTTGTGGGATGGAATCCCGGTCCTGTTATATGTTTGCCATTGCGGCCTGTTTCCATGTTCGTTTACTAAGGGTGGGAACTCTGCGACTCGGTTAGTGAATTGCAAAATTAAGAAATAACGAAACGGAACACCACAACATCCATATTAAATGACTATGAATGACTGTATTGAGTGACAGTGCAGTTAAATGATGTGATTTGCAATTTTTTTTGAAATACTTACCATGTGAAATATTATTAAATGAACATGTTGAAGAAATCAACCTGAACTTTAATTATGGATTTTGTGTTCAGCGAAATATGTGGCTGATATGCTTATAGTATTTGTGGGAAATGAGAACCGTGTTATTTCTGTACCAAGAGATTTTAATCAATAACATGGTTGTTTCAAAGAATTTTGAAGTTTTATGTTTTAAAGAATTTAATGTCATGATTATGATATGGGTTTATTGTTAGACGTTTGTAAAATTGTTGCTTTAACTCATTAAGCCCGAGAGCTACTTCACTGCTCAACATCCTGGAACCACTCGCTGATTGTCCGGCTCGCTGTGCCGAGACTAATTAGTGCTATTCACACCTGATTTCCCTGGCAAGTTTTGGGGATGACAGGAAACTGTCTAGTCATGCAAACAAGTCCTGATTGTATAATTGTGTCATAAAGATCTACGTGGAAAGAAAACAGGTGTGAATTCATATCATATATTGCAACATTTTATGTAATTTTTTTTGCAAGTTTATCTTGTAGATCTTTAGCGGCTTGTACATTTATATTTTATCAACATATGTATGTATTCTTTGCATGTAAGAGATGACACATACATAAACAAATTCTCTCTATCATATCATTGTGTGAGGTTTAAGTTTACAAAATATCTATAACAATGACAGACTGCAAAGAAGAATTTAATTACATGCTTTATAATCTCCTTCGAAAGTAGCGTTTTTGCCGATACAATGCTAGTGTATACTGAATATTTTAAGGAAAGTACTAATACCCTAGTCTGCGACTAACATAGGGCATATAACATAGAGCAGATTCATATTTTATCACTTTGTTTCATCTAGATTTAATGCAGAAAACATGCGTTATCATACGAACATACATATATTGTATAATACATATTCCTTGCATAGACATGAAACATAGAGTCACATGATGGCACGTGATCAAATTTGGTATCTCAACTGTTCAACATAGTGGCTGATCATTTGTTATTATTGACCAATCGTATCATGAGATACCTGTCACAGAGGAAGGGACAGGTGATGGGGCATGGGCTAAATTTCTGAAGAGCACGTTTGGTCACTCAACAAATTTGACAGAGATTGATTATTTGCTATATCATTGACCAATCGATATGCTGGGTTCCGGTTGTATCAACTCGTGCTATCATGTAACAGTTTGTGTATTGTAGACATACATAATCGTAACGATGTATGAAATATTCTCATTAGACAAACAGGAGTAGATAGACACTATGGCGTGTTTATTTGTCCTCAGAGCTCGAACACACATTTGTTAGTGTTTTTCGATAAGTAAAATGATAACGATTGAAATCCAAGCATTGAGTATAGATAGTAATTATTTTCATATACATTTAGGCACACAACTAGTACATAAAACATAATGGTTTGCTTTACATGTAAATATAATCTGCACCTTGATATGAATGAATATCCAAATTAAAGTACATGTATTATAGAATTCAAAAAGTGACACGATACTACTGTTGAATCCCCCCAAATATCTATGAAGATGGGCGTGCCTATATTTATACTGAATGCAAACGAGGTTCATAAGATTACAGATGTTGTAATAACACTGACATGTATATATATTGTGTGTCGATGCAAAGGCACGAGTTATCACTATATATTCGATTAGGTAACATTATCAACTTTAGGTTATGAAAAATAAATAGTTACAATTCAGTAAGCTTTAAATTAGTAACTTAATTTATGTGTATCTATTCGAGCTTGGATTTATTATTATATGTGTATACGATTCATCATATGAAATATGGCAACGTAATAATACCTAAAATGTGAATTCAAACTATTCTATTGTGTTTGAATTCTTCGTATGTCCTTGAAATTTCGTATATATTTCGTATTTATTAGGTAGTTGAAGAAAATATATTCTTCAGTAACCTCTGAACCATTACATCCAATTCAATCAATGTGCGTGTAAAGTATTTAAGCATCCACTCCCAATGAAGAGTACCAGGCACTTACCTCTGTAAAAAACATCTCATAATCCCATTTCTCGCAGACATGTGTTCATTTACCAAACGCTGTATAAGCCTATGATAGTGATTAGCAATGGCTATCTAAACTTTTGGAATACTTCTTCTGATTAACACTAAAGGTAGCATCTCTCGTGAGAAAAGCTAATCTTTGCTCAGTACTACCAAATTGGTTGAAATAATAGTACAGTGCGATTTTAAAAAGTAAGACACACATGTGCGTCCCTCGCTGAATAAGAGGTGCTTTCTGTTGATGCACATACGCGTCACTCACTGTGAGGAGCTAAATAATTTGTCGCACATATGCGTCTCTCAGCCTTAATGAGTTAAAGGAAAAGCAATGTTATGTATGAGTCATCCATACATATATGTCCATGCGTATATATATATACTTCCTACATCGCCATGCTTGTTGTCAGTTGCCAGATCTAACAACTCACTCAAAATGTGATGTAATAATTTATTAGAGGAATTAATTTGTTCGGCTGTATTTGTCACAATTTCCATAAATTATTACCCATATAATGATTATGATTTCCTGAAAATGACTTGATTAAGTCCATGCACTGCAAATATAATACAGGTTGCAATGAAACCAAACATATGTCCTGGATGGTGTGTTGTGTGAATTTTTATCCCACCGGCATGTAATGCGGTGGGATATAGTCGTCGCCTCGTCCATCTATCCGTCCGTCCGTCTGTCCGTCCGTAATCATTTTGTTTCCGGAGCATAACTCAAAGACCGTTTGATATTTTTTAACCAAAATTGGTAGATATGTCAAACATAACCTAAGGTGGTGCCTTTTGCTATTTACAGATTATTGTCATTTTTATTTTTCTCGGTTTCCATGGAAACGTTTTGGACTTAGTTTTAAAGAAGGGTGGGCTTCGTTTCCGGAGCATAACTCAAGAACCGTTCAATATTTTTTAACAAAACTTGGTAGATATATCAAACAGATCCTAAAGTGGTGCCTTTTGCTATTTGCAGATTTTTGGCATTTTTATATTTCTTGGTTTCCATGGAAACAATTCGGACTTAGTCCCAAAAGTGAGGGGTGGGCTTCGTTTCCGGAGCATAACTCAAGAACCGTTCAATATTTTTCAACAAAACTTGGTAGATATATGAAACAGAACCTTGAGTGGTGCCTTTTGCTATTTACAGATTTTTGTCATTTTTATTCTTCCCGGTTTCCATGGAAACATTTTGGACTTAGTCCCAAAAGTGAGGGGTGGGCTTCGTTTCCGGAGCATAACTCAAGAACCATTCAATATTTTTCAACAAGACTTTGTAGATATATCAAACACAACCTTAAGTGGTGCCTTTTGCTATTTACAGATTTTTAGCATTTTTACTTTTCCCGGTTTCCATGGAAAAGATTCGGACTTAGTTGCAAAAGTGAGGGGTGGGTTCGTTTCCGGAGCATAACTCAAGAACCGTTCAATATTTTTCAACAAAACTTGGTAGATGTATGCAACAGAACCTTAAGTGGTGCCTTTTGCTATTTGCAGATTTTTGGCATTTTTATTTTTCTTGGTTTCCATGGAAACATTTTGGACTTAGTCTCAAAAAGTAAGGATTGCTTTCGTTTCCGGAACACAACTCAAAAACCATATAATATTTTTCAACAAAACTGGGTAGATATATCAAACACATCCTAAAGTTGTGCCTTTTGCTATTTGCAGATTTTTGTCATTTTTATTTTTCCCGGTTTCCATGGACATTATTCGGACTTAGTCTCAAAAAGTGAGGGGTGGGCTTCGTTTCCGGAGCACAACGTGAAAACTTCTTAATATCTTTCAGCAAAACTTGGCAGATATGTGAGGCAGATCCCAAAGTGGTGCCTTTTGCGATTTGCAGATTTTTGTCATTTATTTTTTTCATGATTTCCATGGAAACGATTTGCACTCAGTCTAAAATCAAGCTGGACTTTAAGTAACTGTCAGATGATTTGTTCTTTCAAAGATGTGGAGGCCGGGGGGATATGTCATCTTCTGATGACTCTTGTTATATTTGTCACCTGAAACCCAATGGAGACATGTTTTCTGATGCTTGATGTTCTTGAATATAAAGAGAACAATATCTCTATTGTATGGCTCCAGACTGTACATGTACTTCATTACAACTAATGCAAAAACAAAACTTTTAAAATATATGATAACAAATGGGAAACATTTTCTTCAGTAATCTAGTATGCAAGTTATTCACTTATTGAAAGACTTGTTAAGATGCAGACTATTTGCAGTATGCTATAGTGACATTTGTGACACCATGTAGGCTTCCAGTTTGGAGACTAGAATGAAGATCAAGGTTGTCAAAAGACTTGTTATTGTTGAGTTAAGCTGTCACCTGATTTGGTGAAGTTGGTTCAAGATATTTATTGAAGTAGAGGTGAGAGGAGAGGACTACTTCATTTTTAGGCATGTAACCATTTTGAGTACTATTCTTTTGCTATGCTGTGTTGTTTGCAGATATTTTGTATGTTTGATTTACTCATAATATCAGTCAGCAAACAAAGGTTTTATGTTTTGACTGCCACTGCTCTATTTCCAGTTTTAACTGTCTCTTTGCAGACTCTTTCCAGAACCACAGATGCAAAGAGAAGAACTTTCCCACCATCCAAACAAGAAATTAACTGCACCATTCAAAGGTGAGGAACTTACAATATATGCACTGAAGATAAACAACGATTCACAAGAGCATTAATCAAGCACCACCCACTTTTCTTGATATGATAGTATGAAAAGTTGTTGTATATGCTTTCTGCAAAATAGAATGGTTACTAGAACATATTTTAATCTGATTAAAACTGAAACCAAGCTGGAATTGATATTTGGTACCAATTTACTTTTAATCTGGAGGAATACACAATATAAAAGTGAATAGCAGCAATGTTGGAAAGCATGGTCACCATGACTTCACCACCCATCTGATTGTCACACAGTTCTTAGATAATGATTGTTGTGATTGTATGAGCCACAACTGACGACCATATCTGTACTTGGTGTAGCCACTCCTCGCACAACGCCATCTGCCAGTCTCCTCCTCATACTGGCAATGAAGCATCAAATTCTCAGCCTCAGAAACCTGCAGATTTTGAAAAGGACGGTCCTTAGACAGTATTTTTTTTAAAAGGATATAACAAGTGATAGGTGTATGATGATGATTAACAAATTGAAAACACATAACAAATAGTAGTGATGTGTGACAGTAGATGTCATCATATAATGACTGCCAAGACTCTTGAAGGATGATAGAACTAAGATGGGAAATTTAAATGCAGATGTCTTTTGATCAACCATTTGTCATATGTTCACTTTATGAACCTCAAATAACAATTAGTGGGAGTCTGTCCCACTCATCTTTCAGCACCTGTTCAAATTCAGCCAGTGTTGTTGGCAGCCTTATGACTTGACGCTCTGTGTTCAGTGAGGTGAGAGATTTTAAGGAGGTTGTGCTGCTGGAGGTGAGCACTGACAATTTGGTGAACACAGCTGTTATCTTCTAGACACACAAACTGTCGACACAAGTGCATTGATAATGGAACAACTAAGCGTGTCAGTCAGTATGTGACATACTGTAAATTGTTATTCTGACCACATTTTCTCATGGCTGGTGTGTTGCTCTACGAAAGAGTTGTCTCCCTTTGTGTTTCTTGTCTCCATCAAAATGATGTGCTTTCCATCCAGGGCCCCTATGGCATGAGGCACTTGCCATCTAAGTTCGAATTGTCTGGTATAGTTTGAGTCTTGAATACCTCGTCTCAGCAGGCCTCCACGATAGCCCGGCCATCTTGGGATGACTTGCTCACCCTGCAGATGTAAGCCATGCTTGGATACTAGTCACCAATGGCTAGGTGTCTTAATGTCAGTGACAGTTTCAACCCTGCTTCCAAAGAGGGTCTGTAATTGTTGCCTTTTCCTGTGATGTTGGGCCCTATTCCCTCCAAAATTTCACCAAAGAGCTCCATGGGCATCCTCATGTAGTTCTTGAACTGATTTGGATTGTCCTCCTTCAACCTCTGGACATGGTTTTAGTGCTGACAGTGTTCCTGTCTCGCCATAGAGGTCAGCCAGTTTTGGACCCACATCTGACAGTGTTGCCTTCTTCATTCACATTGTCTGATCATTGCCAAGGTGTAGTTAATAACATCTTTCAATTGTGCTGCGGCTTCAGTCTGCAGGACAAGGGCCAAGACAATATACCAAGAGTCAATATCCGTCTTTTTTCAGAGTGTTTCCACTGATTGTCAGGCAACAAATGATGAGATCGCAGTGTCAATTATTATGTGGTGGTTTTGCTTTTTATCCCCTCGGCATGTAATGCGGGGGGATATAGTCGACGCATCGTCCATCCGTCTGTCCGTAATCATTTTGTTTCCAGAGCATAACTCAAGAACCGTTCAATATTTTCAACAAAACTTGGTAGATATATCAAACAGAACCTTAAGTGGTGCCTCTTGCTATTTGCAGATTTTTTGCATTTTTATTTTCCCGGTTTCCATGGAAACGATTCGGAGTTAGTCCCAAAAGGGAGGGGTGGGCTTCGTTTCCGGAGCACAACTCGAAAACTTCTTAATATCTTTCAACAAAACTTGGCAGATATGTGAGGCAGATCCCAAAATGGTGCCTTTTGCTATTTGCAGATTTTTGTGATTTATTATTTTCTCGGTTTCCATGGAAACGATGCAGACTTAGTCTCAATATGGAGGGGTTGGTTTTGTTTCCGGAGCACAACTCGAAAACTTCTAAATATCTTTCAGCAAAACTTTGCAGATATGTGAGGCAGATGCCAAAGTGGTGCCTTTTGCTATTTGGTATAGTTTTGGCATATTTATTTTTCCCGGTTTCCATGGAAACGATTAGGACTTAGTCCCAAAAGGGAGGGGTGGGCTTCATTTCCGGTGCACAACTCGAAAAGCGTTCAGTATCTTTCAACAGAACTTGGCAGATATATTAGGCAAATTTTGAAATGGTGCCTTTTGCTTTTTGCAGATTTTTGGCATTTATATTTCTCATGATTTCCATGGAAACGATTTGGACTTAGTTTAAAAAAAGTCAAGCTGGACTGTAAGATGATTTGTTCTTTCAAATATGTGGGGGCTGGGGGGATATGTCATCTTCTGATGACTCTTGTTTAGGAACTGGGACAATCTTAGAGGTTTTCCAAAGGGTGGGAACAGTTTGTGTACTTACTGAATTATGACAGCCAATTGTTCTTTGCATTCTTTCAGTACAATTCTGCACAAATTATCTGGACCACAAGATTTATGTATGTTGATTTGGGAAAATGAATTGATGACATCATCAATAGAAATATTTATATCATCTAAATGCTTATATTATAATTCTAAAATTTTCTTTCTCCTAAGAAATCTGCAAAATCAAATCCTGAATAAAAAGTATTTAATTCGTTTCAGGAGAAGTCATCATTACATTCAATTTCTTGAGGCTTTTTCACAGATGACATCATAATTTTTAGTCCACTCCATACACTACATATGTTACTGTGTTTTTGTTCCCCCGCTGCAATGCTATGTATTCAGCAATGTCCATACATACATACATCCGGCCGTACCTCCCTGATTCTTGTTAACGTGATATCTCATGAACTGTTGTACGCAATGTCTTCAAATTTGGTGACAGCCTACATTGGGTGATTATGCAGATACCAGTTGATTTGGTGACCTTGACCTTATTTTCAAGGTCACCACAACACATTGACCACTTTTCAAACTCTTGTTAACGGATATCTCATGAATTGTTGTACCCAATATGTTCTAATTTGGTGACAGCCTACATTGGGGGATTATGCAGACACCAGTTGATTTGGTGACCTTGACCTTATTTTCAAGGTCACCACAACACATTGACCACTTTTCAAACTCTTGTTAACGGGATATCTCATGAATTGTTGTACCCAATATGTTCTAATTTGGTGACAGCCTACATTGGGGGATTATGCAGACACCAGTTGATTTGGGTGTCCTTGACCTTATCTCCAAGGTCACCACGATACTTGACCACTTTTCGAACTTATGTAAACGTGTTATCTTATAAAACATTGCACCCAGTGTCTTCAATTATGTTGACAGCCTACATTGGGTGATAATGCAGACACCAGTCATTTCATGCATGTTGAATGTGACCAGAAAATAGAAAGTAGGAAATATGTTATGAATATTTCATTCTTCTTTAGCTGGAGGGTACGTTAAAATATGGTACTTGTTGGTCCCTGCCTGGCACTCTGCATTAATGGGTACAACAAGGACTGGTCGGCTCGGAGTCAGTATAATGTGTCTGAGTGGGGTATTCATGCTTCACTGCGGCATGGTATCTCAGTGTGCTAGCACTATAAAACCAGCTTCAGCCTGGGTTAGTACAAGCAGCTGCACCTACACATACACACGCATGCATGTCGTCATATGAGCGAAATATTCTCCAGCGTGACGTTAAACCCAATTTCACCTCACCTTACCTTTAGTTTAACTTCATTCCCTTCATGTTTAAGTTATCCTATTCTTTGCATTTAACACAAACTTAAATTGCTTTAGGGCTGTAACGATGCATCAAACTATCAATGAATAACAATTATTGAGTCTATGATAGCGATTAATCGATCGTTGAAACAAAAACTATCGTTGCACCAAATGTGTGACTATCAATAGTTTTTGTAATTGACTTCCATTGATAAATGTGCAGAGCCAAATACAGGAATTACCAGATTGGTTCACTTTGATTTACAGTTATCCGCCCCTGTTACCTCTTAAACTTTATCTGGCTTTCAAGTTTCTTGTCAGTTATTAAAAGAGACTGAAACTACTTCAGCTTGTTTTTATTTCATATAAACTATGCATTCATTTGGGAAATGGCTTCAAATGAGACAATTCTAGGAGAGAAAAAACTATTACAATAGTTGGTCGCAATAGTATGTGGCAATTATTATTATGTTTTACAGATTAAAGATAATGTGCAGCAGAGAGGGTTTGGGTGATCTAGGCACAGTGAGGCTGGTAAGGCTCATCATCAGCTCAGGGCCCTTGCCCCCTCTACACGCAGCCCAGACAGCGAATGGGACTTCTCCCAGGAAACGCTGCCTAGTCGAACCCACCAAGAACTTTCCGGAGAATATGAAGGCTCCCCAACACTGTAGCCTTCTGCATTACCCAGAGTGTCAGAAGGGCTGTACTCCCAGTGGAGAACCGGGCACTCTTATGATCAGGAGCTACCATTCCAGGGGCACCAAGAACAATGGGGAGCCTGACAACAGTATACTTGGGATACAAAGGCGAGGTCCGCATACTTATCATGCTTTTCCTGAAGCTTGCCAATCACATTGCTGTCAAAAGGGACAGAAATTCAATGATATCAATAAATTCATTGGCTTTATCAAAAAGGACAGGATCAGGTTTGTTGGCTGGAATTCTTCTGAAGCTGTATATGGGCCTGTTCCACAAAAGTTTGAAAGCATCAGTTTCCATGGCGCCCTGGACATGTTCAGGGTCGTACCATGGATGGACCTGGTAGTCAAAGCCACAGGCATGGCGGAGACGGTAGTCAAGGCAACGAGCCATGCCATCATGTCGTTCAAGATATGCTGTTTGTGCACTGACAAGCATCCACTGACAAGGTGTTGGACAGTCTCTGTAAATTCATTACACAGTCGGCATTTCATGTTAATATTTTCTTTAAGAATCACATTAAGACGATTGCGAGTGGGAAGTTACTGGTCCTGAGCAGCAAAAAGAAAGCCCTCAGTTTCACATTGCAGTGCGTGGAACATCCTTTGCCTGGATGAAGTCGGTTGGATTGCTATTCTGTTCCACACACTGCATGTACACATGATGCAATGGTTTCTCAGAAAACTTCTCCACAAATGACCGACTCTGGGCAGACTTGGTGAAGGACTTCACCTGGTTTTCTCCCATCGCTGTACCGTCCAGCAGTACATCGACATCAGCAAAGTCAACCTCAAATTTCACATTCTGTCCAACAACCTTGGCACGCTTAAAATAGCTGTGGAATTCCTTGCTTTCATCATGCATCACCAGGGATCATCCCATAAATAAAATACATGCAAAAGTACACAATAAAATTCTTTAAGAGCCTCCACATTAATCAAACCCCGACCTCCAAAATTGATTGGCATGTATAAACGGTTAAGAGAGGAACGAGGGTGGTGGGCTCTGTTATCAGACATGATCCTTCTGATCAGGTGGTCAAGACTCTGAATGTCTTGTTTTGTCCAATCAACTACTCCAAAGGAATAGGAAAGGACTGGCACAGCAAAAGTATTGGTGGCTTTGACCTTGTTTCCAGCGTTAAGCTCTGAGCTCCAGATTTTCTTTAAAGGTCACATGCAACGTAAAACACAACTTTGCAGACAAAGCGTTAAAAATGCAAATTCAACTTATAAAGTTGAAAAATAACGCGATGAAAAAAAACGCGCGAAATCGAAGTTCAAACGTTTCACTAATTTTCCCCAGACTTTTCTGGGGAATACGGGTTTCAACAGCTGGGCTGCGCTCATAGCACTTGCGCAGTGAAATAGGTTTGCGCAACTTGGAAGCGGGCTGTCTTGTGAATACTCGGTGAAGGCTTTGGTGTGAGCTATTTTCATAATGTTTTGTTGATATCTTACAGGCGCGAGCTTTTTGTATGTTATGACAGTAAATAAACTGTTTATATAATTTCATTTGTCTATTTCACCACACGTTCTTCTTACCGAGTCACTTTCTCAGTTCGATACTTAAAAGCAATGTCATTATTTAGAGTTGACACAATTTCTAACTGTGATGTAGATATGTCGCTGTCACAGACAAAACTCAATGTCTTGTTTTATTGACGCCTGTGTGTCTGCCTGCCTGTCTGCTAATGACAATATTCAATACACAACTTCGATCACTGACCACATGCAATTTGAACTTAACACCAATCAGGCTATACACCTACAAAACGCATTGATTTATGGCCCGAGTTCGGTCTCTGTCACATTATGTAATTACACAGACAGGCAGGTGTGATACTTGAACACATGACATGTTATGATGTCTGTTGATCGCAAAATGTTATACACAAAAAATGAGCATGTATTTACAAAACCCAACTTTCTATATATATACACACAATGAGCCATGAAGGCGGCATCTGCTAATGAACCAGCCGTTACACTTGAGTGCACACCCACCCGCTCTAACTGGGTTCGGTATCCCGGCTGCTTCGTTTCGAGGGAGGTAAACCCAAGTACAAAATATTGCACTTTTGATTTGCGATTATACGCTTACAATTTTGTTTATTTGTTTTTTCATAATCAGCAATGCATATTATATGTCATGAAGAAGTGATAATTGTGTCTTAATTGTGTTTGATTTTTTTGGTTGCATGTGACCTTTAAGCGAGATTTGTACTGGGACCGAAGTTTGTCATGAATTTGGGCACTCTGGAGGTTGTCTCGAACTTGCATTCCAAGATAGGTGTAGGCCTGATGATCTTCCACAAGATGCTCAATAACTCCTCCCTTCCCCCCCTAACTTGCAATTGACCGATCCACCATTAACTACCTTGCCACGTTTCAAATGAAGAGTATTACATTTGTTAAGTCCAAATGCTATGCCAGTATCATTAGAAAAGGACTCGACAAGGAGAACCTGTTCTTTCAAATTGGTTTCTCCTTTGGCAAGGAGCTCGATGTCATCCATGTAAAGGAGATGAGTAAGTGGTGTCGGGGATCTGTGCTGAGTCCCGGATGGTAACCCTCCTCCCTATTGAGCAAAAAGCTCAAAGGATTTAGAGACAAACAAAAAAGCAAAAAGGAGTCCCCCTGGAAATTTCCCCTTCTGATTGGAATAGATTCCGCAGTCTATACCTGCCCTTTGGAGTACATCTCAAGTTAAGTTGGCCTGCAACTCATTAAAGACTTGAGTAAATTAAGTAGTCGCTCCGGGAGGTCAATACAATGAAGAGACTTCAGAATCCATTCATGAGGGACAGAGTCGTATGCTTTTTTGTAGTCAATCCAGCACATGGAGAGGTTGCAGTGATATGTTTTAGCCTCTTCCAAAATCATTTTCTGTACAAGAGGTTGATCCTTGCACCCCCAACATCCTTTTCTTGCTCCCTTCTGCTCTCTGTAAATTATATCATTAGCAGAGCAGTATGATGACACGAGGTTTGTCAAACACCCTGTGAATAATTTGTATTGTGTATTCAAACATGTGATAGGGCGGAAGTTTTGGGATCAGTCAAGAGAGACCATATAATAGAGGGACGGCCCTCCCCAACAGTTTATCACTAACCATCAGCGCTACGGCCTGGCATGTAACTGATACACATCGACACCCTGCTGCTAACTTCCCTCTACCGGTACACATGCGCAACAGATGCGCAGACATTCGCAAATGAGCACTCTGGTAACCACGTAAACAATATTGCGTAATATCCGGGCCGAGAGTTAATTCCCTTAGCGGGATTTCACCGGCTGCGTTTGACAGTTAAACATTACATGGACAGCTCCAATAAACTGATTACAATAATCTTAATTTTTATCTTATCTCTCATTTGCACATGTCAACTGACAACATCGCAGAACATGTATCATTCGCGAAATGCGTGTCGTCATAAGCCTGGAATATTTGTTTCAACATTCGGCATGGCCATGGACGACTTAATTCATTCACTGGGATGATTCCGACTTGGACCTCGATACTTACTTGGAGAATTTACAGACTACGAAAGGACACAGAATATAAACCCAAAATACAAAAATCAAACTAACCCAGTCAAGTAAAGGCAGTTTTAACATTACAGTTGTCAATATCCCCGATGCTCGCTAAACGTATCATCACATGGCTAATCTCAAGATTTACTTGCAAGTATTCGTTGACGCAAAACGAGGGTGTGGTCAAGCAGTCGATGAAAGTAAAAATTCCCGCGAATTTATAAAGAATGTGCAGATTTGCAAGCGTTGTCCAATCAGAGGACTTGCTTCGACCACACCCCTGTTGTGTGCGGACATGTCATCCATTTGTGTCAAGATCGTTTAGTTGAGAGTCAAAATCAGTTTTCAATCGACTTGCAGAAATAACAATAAAGAACTGGTAGGTGTCGTGAGTGTTGCTCGATAGGCCAATCATCCATGATTATGTTTACATAAAGTTTTAATCGATTGCATGTGATGGTAGCGTAGCGATCGGCAACGCAGTCGGGCAGGGTGCACCCTAGAAGTGTCCGGCCTTGTCATTATGTATTGTACTGTGAAGCATTTCGAGTCGGGGGTGTCATCTCAAAAACAATATTTTTAAAATCATGAACCTCGGAAAGACGCGAGGGCCTGTGACTGGCTGCATGGTGTTTCACTAAATGACGCTATTATAGTCTCTGATTCTAATTTTATATTAATTCGCATAATTTCATATTATAAAGTTTATAGTCCCAACGAAACACGATTTCACATTATCCAAGAGCGTTAATGTTTTTATAATGCCAGTTTGGGGCTAGCAGTGATTATGCTTTGGGCCGTATGGAGACATATGTTGTTTTCTTCAAAGGGAAGCCACTAAATACTAAAGTCACTTTCCTCCGGGCCCATGAAAAATGGGCTGTAGTACATTACCCTATCAATTAAAAACTTTCAGCAAAGTGTCAACTTGAACTTGGCAGGAACATGCAACCAATAACATTAAAACACAACATCACACGTTCTTATATGTACAAAGTATTTATTGTAGAATAGGACCATATATCTATATGTACAATCATGTATTACTAAATTCAACCATTTAGATATTCTTTCATTAAAAACACAGTAAATGTGAATTTCAACTGTTGCAAATAAACTCTAAACTGAATTTGAAAATAGAATTATGCAATATTTGGTTGCCAATGTTCTTTCAAACAAGGTATATCTACTTAATCAAGATGGGAATATTGTACTTAATAGTAGGCTCTTTGAGTAGCCGTTCCAATAAGTGCCGATGCAAACTTTCTTTTTTGCCTGGGCATCTACAAAACAAATCATATTTTTATGATATAAATATAATGTTGAATAATGAGTTCATTTTTCATTTTGTTGTTGCAGAATAATAATAGGAAGAATAATAATAACAGAAAAATATATTAATTGTAGTCATGATAAAATAAGGGAAGATGATAACTTATAAACTTCTTGCAACACAACCTGCTTAGAGTATGTTGTCCATTTTGGACTGATTGTGATTGTGAATGTAAAACATAAAATCATACAAATCTGTACACAATCTTAATATAACTTCATTAACAGATATTTTAGATATCCATGAAGTGAACTGTACATTGGATTTTAATTTCCATAATTTCTACTCATGTACTTTATTACATGTTAAATTATTAGGCAGATATTGTTGAAATAGCTCCTTCACTTATGCCTGCACCAACTGGAATCAAGTCTGCAAATCTGTCTTCATAATTGCCGACGCAAACATGGTATGTAGACAGTTTTGATAAAAGTTTCTTCATATCTGTTAGAGTGGAGAAAAATGCAGGTAAACCAATCCAGAATTCATGATTTGGGCCAAAGTCACGTCGATGTGCATATATTGCTGATGTAAAGGATGGCTTGATGACTACTGAAAGCTGGACTGAGCCTACGTCAGTCATAAAACTGCACAATAGTAATGTTTTCACGCTTGTTTCTTGCAATTGTAAAATTGCCTAGCTCATCTACATGCTGAAACAGCTCCTGTTTTAATGTTAAATATTGCTGGTATCGCAGGATGCCATCAACAAATTCATCTACATTGTTGTCCGGGTGATACAATTCATCAGCCGAACAACCATCAGAATCTGTCGCTTCTTCCAGGCATGGGGTATCAGTGGGTTCATTGGTGAGGTCAATGAAGAATGACTTCCATGCTTTGTCTCACAGTGCATCTCTTGAACTAAAAAAAAGATACACAATATTAATATTAATAAAAAAAAAAATGAAGTGTTCTAAATGGTTGGTAAAATTATGCAATAGTTGGTTGCCAATGCTCGTTCAAACAAGGTCCAGTTACTTACTCAAGATGGGAATATTGTACTTAATAATTTACAATATACCGTTGTTTTTACAGAAGAAAAGAAACAATATTAATATTTGATTATACAATTGCTTTGATATTTTAAACTCATTTCTGCAGGTACCAGATATACAAATACCAATAAAATAAATAAATACCAATAACTACAAAATATCAACACAAAATTACTCATTTTTTTTCAAAGACATCATTTGTGAATTTCTTACTTCCATTATTACTTACCTGCAATCGTCAAGAACAGTTGATTGAACTGATGAATAAGAATGTCAGAGAGAGAGGAAGAACTGACACCTTGTTGTCTCGGACCCCTCTTTGAGTAGCCCTTCTGGCGACTGCTGATGAAAACTTTTTTTTCCTGGGCATCTGCCAAACAAATGATAATATATTATATAAATAGTGTAATGATATAAATAAAGTGTTGATTCATTGTTGCATAAAGTCAGGCTGCTGGTACTGTATAATAATATATAGCAATATAACTTCAGTAGGAAGAATAATGATAACAGAAAAATATATGAATTGTTACATGATAAATAAGGACCTTTTCCACAAATATAATCATCAAATTGAACAATAATGGAAATATGTACTTTTTTTCAAACGATTAGGTGAATAAGACTTTTGTAGAATGATTTTAGATATATATTCGCGTTATATTAACGAACAAAATGAATGTTATGTCGTCTGCTACATGATAATTGAAATGTTCAGTATACAACGCAAATATGGGTTTACGCCAAAAATCATAAAAAATAAAATACCGATCGTAGCCATATGAAAAGTGTACCACGCAAAAGAGGAAATCGCCGTGAATGTTCACGTGTTTATTTCAAACATGCTAGTAATAAGCTGTTCTTGTGAAAGCGTGCGAAAATCAAGTGTTGTGGAGTAAATATTTCGAAAAACATCATATTTCGTCGCATTGCACGAGCCAAAATAAGCAATGACGCGACCACCACAGACTTATAAATGCCCCTATACCAATCTTTATCTTATTTTCTTTCATTACATCCCGGTAACTAAGGATTTGTATTGAGAATTAGTATCCGTTACTGAAAATCAAAATCGGGACTTTCGCCGATTTTACACCTCCGCCATTGTTCTCACAGAACGACGAGCACACATGACAGTATTCATCAAATACAAAGACAAATATATGCTTTAGCACCCCTAATACACCTCTAATGCACTGTTGCAAATGTAAGTATATGCATGAGAATACATGAAAAAAATCAAATCTTACCTTTGCAATGAAAATACGCGAAATCGATGACTGAAGTCAACACGCGTTTTTGCCAGCTTCCGGATAGGCTGCGCAGTACAAGCCGTAGCGCTGATGGTTTTGCGCACTGGCTAGAGGGCCATCCCTCTATTATATGGTCTCTGGTATCATGAGATACTGATGAGATGCCATTTTTTTTAGATAACAATAGTATGGTATGCAAACAGTGCAATCAGATGCCGTGCACTTCTCTCTCTTAGTTTGACCATGGAGTGAAAACATGCTGTAAGCAGAGTTGAACAAATCTTCTGGCCTCTCTCCCACCCGATGACTCCCCACTACTCCCATTTTCGGACAACTCAGCGGTCCGTGGAAAGCATGCAGGCCACTCAGGCCATTCACATGAAACCCCTCTCTTGTCATTCTCTTTCTTGTCACACACGAATGTGGACGTGTATGAGCACTGTCTCTGTCTGCTACTCTGCTTTGCTACATTATGGAAAAAGTAATCGTTCATCAAGGAAGAAGAAATATTGTAATAGATGCAAGAAAACTTTGTACTAAGTTGCGCAATAGGACGGAACCCAGTCAGCAGGAAACAAGACTGCTGTGTAATCAATGTTTTGACTTGTCAGGGAGCGGCACTCTCGGCTCCTATTGGTGATCTCCCATCTCCCTTTTTCTGTGGGTTCGGCTTCCATAGGTTCAGTGATTCCTCTGGTTTCAGCATTCCCTCCTGTGTCGGTGATCTCTCAACCAACTTCAGCGTTTCCGTGGGGTTCATCTCTTCAGCGATTCACTCGCTTATTGTTACTGCCCCTTCTTCTGTGATCACTTATGGCAGTGCTGATTTATGTAAGACTGCTTTGGTGACTTACCCTCGGTGAACTGAGCATTCACTGATCTACTTTACACAACCCCCTTTTGTCTCAGCCATTGTGTCTCAGCCTTCGAACTTGACATTAGGTTCGGCGAACCTGTCTGCTTCCGCAATCCCGTTCATTTCCACCTATTCGTAGCAAGCTAATTCTTGGGCGATGCAGCCGAACCTACCTGTGTCTTGAGATTATTCCCAAGATACACAACTTCTCATGGACTTTGACTTGATGGTGCAAGTCATGGCAACGGCTTTGAAGCAAGTACGGCAACTAGATGCATTTCCAGATCAGTGTCGTCAAGTCCTACCTCTGAGTTTGCCAATCTCACCAGTCAGTGTTTGATGAGTCCCCTCTCTTTCCTTCACGTGGAGACCCCTCTATTTCCTTCATGTGGAGACCCCTTCACTCAGCTGCGACCACAAACTACCGATTATAATTACCGCTAATGAGCGATATGTTCGGCGAATCTACCTTTAGTGCTGTCTAGCTCTACAGGCCACTACTAATGGGGATCCTTTTATTTGACATTTCTACGACTGGCTTTTAACCAACATTATGATACACATCACTCAGTTTCTGCTTCGCCGAGGCATCGTGTTTGACGCTTACATTGATGACTGTCTACTAGCTCAAGAGCAGGACACATTCTCTTACAACTTCTACATTTCACTACCAGCTCTCATATACTATTCACAAAAAGTTTAGCAACACAAATTATTAGTCTCATTACATTTTCATTTTTTGAAATAGCAAATCATGGAATGATGCAATAGAAAGGTGAAACATGTACACACGATTAACAAAATGAAATGGTATTGAGCAATATTAGACTTACAAATCATCAAAAGCATGTACCCGTGAAACAGTCGTGCAAATTGTGCTGCATTGATGGAGCAAAATGTTAACATTCAGGTTCAAGTCAGTTTTGGACAGTGAAGCAGTGTTCAGTAATGCGTATAACCACCACAGGCACAAATGCAAGCTTCTACACGTCTTGGCATTGATCAAATGAGCCTTTACAGTTACTGTTGTGGAATGTTCTGCCATTCTCTCTGTAACGCCTGCTCAAGGTCATCCAGTGTCTGGGGGTGAACATGGAGACCGTAAACACGACTTCCAATAATGTCCCAAGCATGTTCAATGGGATTAAGATCAAGTGACCTTGCAGGCCAGTCCATATGTGTGATGTTGTTGATCTAAACAACATCGTTATCAGGGTGCATGTGTGAAGAGTGGAGCACATTCATGCCACACATTTGCATGTTGTTTCTGAGGGTGGTTGTGTTCAGGTGATGTTGTCAATGTTATCAGATAAATCAGTTTGACAGTCACTAAAGGTTATGTATTCTTTGAATATTTACCTTTCAGTAACATGTCGGCAGAAATCGCTATCAAGATTGATAAAGATATTACACTGAAAATATACCGTACTTGTTGCTTAATTGTTTGTGAGGAGTATAGATTCTCTGCTTGTGAAATTAGAGCTGTTCTCAACTTCATATGCATGCTCTGAGTCTACCATCTTTGCATCAGATATCATGGAGGTCAGCGTAACAATGCACCGGTGACATCATACAGGGAGTTGACTGGAGGTACACCGGTTGTTATTCAGAACTCGATAGATGACTATGTTGGTTACTATACAGTTTCACTGTATTATCACATGGGGAATATTCATGTGTGTGCAGTTTCAACTACATATTCGACCGAATGCAATGACTGCACACCGGATTTATACCATCCACAGGATATTACTGAGCCAGGCAGCATTATAACGAGATAGCTCGGTAGACGGCCACGTTGGCTTCTGTACAGTTTTCCACTGTATATCACATGGAGTATCTGTGTGTATTTTGACAACATATTCCACTGTATGCTATGCCTGTGCACCGCATCTACAGGGGACTACTACATTCTGCAAAACAATGAATAGCAGGGAAGCACGAGACAGGCAGCATAATAGCGAAACAGTGAGCTTGTTTTAGTGCTGCATTCATTTCCCAGTACATTCAGCGTTGGCTCGCCGAATCAATGCATCCCTCCTCTAGTAATTACTGTTATAACGGCCAGATTTGCTGGGTTTACTCATGTCAGCCCAAGCTTTCATGTCCAGAGTTTTACCACAACGACGGACGATCCATAGGTTTCTTCGTCTGTTCCTAAGGATCGCTGATCCTTCTATCTCGTTCAATTCTTCACCCTGCATTGAGGGGTGGTGGGGTAGCCTAGTGGTTAAAGCATTCGCTCGTCATGCCGAAGACCTGGGTTCGATTCCCCCACATGGGTACAATGTGTGAAGCCCATTTCTGGTGCCTAACACAGTGATATTGATGGAATATTGCTAAAAGTGGTGTAAAACCATACTCACTCACTCACTCACCCTCGATGAATCGAATGTCTGCAGGGGGAGTTTACTTGACACATACTGCCCATTCGTAGACACATCACTTGAAGGATGGCGAAGTTCATGTTCACGATCTACTAGCAGCAGGACTGTGGTCACCCGATGTACTGACCCTCCACATTAATGAGGGGCGGTGGGGTAGCCTAGTGGTTAAAGCGTTGGCTCGTCACGCCGAAGACCCGGGTTCGAATCCCCACATGGGTAAAATGCGTGAAGCCCATTTCTGGTGTCCCCTGCCGTGATGTTGCTGGAATATTGCTAAAAGCGGCATAAAACCAAACTCAGTCAGTCAGTCAGTCAGTCAGTCAGTCAGTCAGTCAGTCCACATTAACGAGCTGGAGTTCAAGGCAGTTATCCAAGCTATAACACTCTGGCCTACTTTTGACCGGTCTCCTCATATGATCAGGCAACTCGAGTACTGGGTGGTGGTGTGGTACATCAATCATCTGGGTTCTACATCTAGCTTCTTCACCAGTTAGAATGGCTCGTCAATTTTAAAAAGTCAGAATTGATCCTGACTCTATGCCTCCAGTTTATCAACACCAGGCTCGGCAAGAAGTTTGTTCCCCGAGACCGGTTTGTCAGGATTCAACGACTTGTTCCCCTTGCACTGACACAACCCATAACTCTTCATCAGTGGCAAGAGCTCCTCGGTCTGATGATGTCAGCCCAAGCTCTCACCCTCAGGGGACAACTGCAACTTCGGCCGTTACAACAGTTCCTCCGACCTTATATCAGGATTGGCGATCCACACATGCCAATCCTACTACCTTCAACACTCCATCCCATCTATGGAGGTTGCTGGTAGAATCAAATGTTTGCGGAGGAGTCTCTTTGAGGCCGTTTGTTCCCTCTCATCACCTCTACGTGGACGCTTCTCTACAAGAGCGGGGAGCTCACCTTCAGGATCTTCAAGTGGCAGGGTTATGGTCTCTCACAGACCAGTCCTGTCACATCAACAAACTAGAGTTCAGGTCGGTTATATTGGCGATAGCCCATTGGGCTCAATATCTACAATCAACCAGTCTACTCGTACAATCGGACAATGCCACTGTGGTGTGGTGCATCAACCAGATAGGGTTCACAGGATCACCGCAACTACTTCACTTGGTTCAGCAGTTCTTCCATCTCATGGACTCGCTGGACATCACAGTCAGAGCTGATCACATACCAGGGGTTAAAAACATCATTGCCGATTCACTGTCCCGATCAGCTCGACCATGACCGACAGAGTGGAAGCTACATCCTCAGATATTCAAGACTCATTGCTTCCCGAAGACCGCCTCCGTGGTGTAGTGGTTAGAGTGTTCGCCCGGAGAACGGAAGGTCGAGGGTTTGATCCCGGCCGGCCACGTCATACCAAAAGATGTTATAATATGGTACTTGTTGGTCCCTCCAAGGGGTCGGCATTAATGGGTACAACAAGGACTGGTTGGCTCGGAGTCAGTATAATGTGTCAGAATGGGGTATTCATGCTTAGCTGCGGCATGGTATCTCAGTGAGCTAGCACTATAAAACCAGCTTAAGTCTGGGCTAGTACAAGCAGCCACACATACACATGCATGCACATCGTCATATGAACGAAATATTCTTAAGTGCGATGTTAAACCCCATTTCACATCACCCATTGCTTCCCGATTATGAGCTCAACAATGGACCTGTTTGCAACCAGATTCAACACTCAGCTACCCTGGTTCACGTTTCCCGATCCCAGATCTGCTGAGTTAGCAATACCTTGGGAGGGCCTCTAAGCATATGAGTTCCCACCACCGGCATTACTTCAACGAGTTCTACTCAAACTACGTTCGACACAGGATTTAACACTACTTTTTGTTACGCCTTATTGTCCATCCAGAAGTTGGTTTGTCAACCTGCCAGAACTTGCAGATCCAAACCTAGTACTGCTTCCCGACCACGCTGACGTACTGATCCACCCTCACTCAGAACAGCTACATTGGTCCCCACAGACGCTCCATCTACACGTATGGCGCATCTGTATTAATCTTTGATCACTAAAGGGTTACTAGAAGCGAGTGGCTACAGCTATTCCTACAGCTCACCGTACCTCTACACAAGCCCTCTACGATGACAAATGGAAGAATTTTGGGACTTATTGCAAGACGAAGTAACTTTCTCTATCACAGCATCACCTCAGATAGTTGCTGAGTATCTGCAGCACTTACGTACTTCCAAGAAATTAAAGGGCTTCACATTGGCTACGTATCTGGCAGCCATCAATATTGTAATAGCCACAGCCACTGGTGCTAAAGTCTCTACTGTCCCTGAACTTTGAACGGAAGAGGGATGGCAAATCTTTCTTGGCCAAAGATGGGACTTCATTGCCAAGAATCAGTTACCCAGACAGCCAGACAGACTATTCATTATTCCGAGATACTGGGGCCCAAGGACTCTGAGGATCTTTCACTCTGCCTGGTTAGGGCATTACAAGTGTACCTTGCTGCATCTCAAGACCGACATCGGCCACGCAAGAGACTTCTCATCCCATTGTCTACAGCTTCATCAGCAGAAGTCTCGCGTACAACCCTTGCGTTTTGGATGTATTCAACCGTCCTACCCGCCTACGATGACATTTCGCCACCTGCTACTGCGAACCCTCTTGAGACATGAGCTTAAACAATGGCGCAACAGAGCAACTTTTCTCTTAACGCCATCATGGAGGGTTGTTTCTGGAGGTCAGAAACGGTCTTTGTCTCACACTATCTACAAGATCTATCCATCACTGATGTGGAGGGCTTACACCCGTTCGGCCATTTGGCACACGGCAGCAACTTTCATCAGCCCGTCAACTGTGAGATATGACAAGTTTTACAAAATGTGAAAATTTTACTATAAATTGTATATTTATGATACTTATCCTATCTCACACGATTGATTCCCAACTGACCTTCCCAAATTCGCAGATTACTATGGTGCTCCAAGACTAGAATGACAAGAGAGGGGTGTCATGTGACCAGCCTGAGTGCCCTGCATGCTTTCCAGGGACACCAGAAGTGTCCGGGAATGGGAGCAGTGGGTAGTGATTGGGCGGGAGAGAGGCCAGAAGATTTTTTCAACTCTGCTTACAGCATGTTTCCACTTCATGGTCAAAGTAAGAGGGAGAAGTGCACACTGTGAGATAGGATAAGTATTATAAATATACAATTTATAGTAAACTTTTCAAACTTATTTAAGTTGAAGTTGTATTATTTGGATAATATGATAAAAATAAGTTTGATATTTATCAACAGTAATATTAGACCTTTCAAATGGTGTATGACATGTAATAGCAATAATGTTTTACAAGCTGACATTGACCTTCATAAATGTAGGTTTCATCTATCACATCAGAGCCTCTGGGAAGTCAGTGTCATGGCAGTAAAAGCTTCTGGTTGACTGGTGTTGAAAGAGTTAATTGTGTCATAATAATATCATGTCAACTGACGTATAATAATACACACATTTGATATATTTGAAGCTGTACACTAAATCAACCCCTTTTTGCCATTGCTATAATTTAAAAATCCACTCAGATAAATATGTATATGCAATTGTTAACTTGATTATACACGAAATATGTATACATGTTATTCATACAACAATGTTCCATTTGCATGCTCAGAAACAACCCTTCAGTTTATAAGAAATGTCTTTACAAAACTTGGGACACGCATGCACTATTTAATTCAAACCCAACTTCAATCCAACCACCCCTGACAAATTTATATTGTAACATTTGACATACATTTCAACTTGGTTGATCTACGACATGTTGTGACGTAAATTCTGTTGACCAGTTTAATAATCTGGCAAATCAGTCGACACTGCAACAAATGAAGCTGTTAAAAGGAAAGCATCCATAGGATGTAAATTAATCAACAGATTTTGAGGAGCAAGTGTGTTCATTATACCTTACCTGTACCATGTACCTTATTCAGGTATTTAAGCAGTAATGGTTAGGGCTGTAACTATAATTAGGTCCTGGGACATACAACGAACAATCATTTACCATCACCCACCAGTTATCTCCCCTTGTGGACATATCCAAGCTTGTAAATGTGGTCTATTTTTCCAGTGATACCTGCTTGTGTTACAATGCTACAGACTACAAATCATGACAGGAGATCCCATGCAGTAGTTCATGTATTCAACCTCTTGTACAATCAAACTACCGGGTAGTTAATATTTACAATTTCATTTTTCTTTGCACATCAGTCTCTTCAAGATCAAACAATGTTTTTTTCTGCTTCATCATGCAGATGGAACATACTGCTTGTGTAGACATCATATATAGTGATTGGGCACATACCAAACACAATATTTCAGAAAGAATCTGTGACAGAATCCATAGTGACACTTCTTCCAGCTATGGTAAGTACACTGCAAACCCTGATAAAATGCTATAAAATTTGGTTTCATTAGCTCTCTTGTATTTTTTGCAGACGGCCTATAACTGAGCATATCTACTTCCTGAATGGTGAACATCGCATCATTGAGTTTGATTCTGCAGCAGTATGTGGAGAAGTAAGTTTTACTCAAGTATTCTTCGGAAGTTTTAGTTCACCTGGACAAACAACAGTGTGAGAAACTAATAATTGTCAGTAAATAGCTGTATAAATATTTTATGTCTTTTAAGAGTGCTTATGGCATTGTTACTTGGCACTGAAAATGGAATCCCTTCTTCTTAGAAATTATTCAACACGTTTGTCAAGATGCCACTGTCTACAATATTATACTTTTTGTTTTGAAAAAGAAATATAACCACCACAGCTGAGAATTATTCTGATAAAATCATGTATTTTGTCGGTCATCAGATATGCGATGATGTCGCATTGGCCATACTAGATACACTCATGAATATTTGCTCAAAGGTGAAGATCCTCCGTTTTGCATCCCTTGTGATGAGATAATCACAGTCAAGCATGTCTTGCTTGACTGCATCGATTTTTCCATCACAAGGGATAAATATTTTGATGTCAAAGCAATTAAGGATCTTTTTTATAGTGTTAATCATCATTTAATAATTGATGTTTTAAAGGAAATAGAATTATTAGATAAATTTTGAATAATATACTGGACAAAATAAGTTGGGGATATTGGTATTTTTATGATTGATATTTTATCAGTGTGTAAATGAATAAATAGATCAGTATTCATAATTTCAAAATTTACATATATCCCTAACTATTTTTGTCCAGTATATGTTTTGTAAATAGAAAAATGACATTTTAAACATGGTAGAATAATTTAGCAACTGAGATTATTAGTGGCTGTATCCTCAAATGGGGTTGAAGTATTGTAAAATTATTGTCCTCCTGAGAGGATACATAAGTCCAAAAACTTTCAATGTTAAATTTAAACTTACCAGATTTTTAAAGGCAGTATTTCTGTTATTTTAAACTGTTGGCTAAACTTGTCCTACAATCGCCAGAAACTGAAGGGATGGTGTAAATCCAACTAGAGTCCATGCAGATAGCAAAGGTACTGTAAGTCTCCAAGGTCCCTAGTATGGTGATCTACCTTCAGTTGTTGGTGATCAATAGCTTGTTTTTATATTGTATTGTCCAAAAAGTGCTATCAGCTTTAACTTTCCACACTAGTTTTAGTTGTAATAACCCGTGAGGTCCGGGTTAGAATGAACCTTCAGTAACCCATGCTTGTCGTAAGAGGCGACTAACGGGATCGGGTGGTCAGGCTCGCTGGCTTGGTTGGCACATGTCATCGGTTCCCAATTGCGCAGATTGATGCTCATGCTGTTGATCACTGGATTGTCTGGTCCCGACTCGATTAATTACAGACCGCCGCCATATAGCTGGAACATTGCTAAGTGCGGCGTAAAACTAAACTCACTCACTCATTTAGTTGTAATTGTGATATTCTAGGTGTTTTACTGTCCTTCGTCGACAGGTTTTTATAATGTACATATATTCCATTTCAATGTCAAATATGTTCTCGTCACGATATGGCTGAAATATTGCCGATGTGACGTTAAATATTAACTCACTTGGTCATCAGAATAGAAAATCATATACGATTTTCAACATAAGTCTTCTTTACCATTACTATCCACAATAATATTTAAACTGATCCTATCCCTCGTTATACACTTACTCTTTTGCTTCCTTCCATGGAGTGGAAACAGTGAAACAAAGTTTTTGGATTCTTCAAACACATCACCCAAGTACACCGCTGTTAGATCTACTGTTGACAGTCTCTGAAAGCTCAAGCTCATGTCTTGCCCATGTGACTCCCAACTGATGTCATTCTCTTTCTTGTCGTTCATGGGTGCAGACAACTTGTCATGTGGAGATCCTTTCTTTTTGGAAAAAGCCTCATTAATCTCCTTAAATTGGGGCATTGGTTTCAACATTAATAACTTGGAAGTTTGGAAGATAGGTAAATGATGGGTAAAGTCAATGAGGCATCATACTCGAGGAAAGTGTGTGCTAGGTGTAGAAGAACTTTTTACATCATATAATTAGGAGATAATCCTATTGTGTTTACATTTTGGAAGCGATTATAGTTGGTTGAACGCTGCTAAATGTCATTTAAAACCGAACCGGCTCTCAGAAGTGGTTATTGAAAAATTTTCACTTCTAATTTTTTAGTAACAGCCAATAAAAAACGAACATACTTAAATGTCATGGTAGAATCCTTATTATCCCCCACAACAACTTTTGTGGGGTGGGCTCCATCTGTCCATCTGTGCAAATTCGTCTTTTCCGGAGCAGAACATAAAAAAAGCTTCTTCACCAAACTTTTACTGATCCCTCGCCATTGTTTGTTCATCCCCCTATTATTGGAACTTGTCTTCAGTCAGGGGTCCCTCATGTTTCATCTACACTTGAACAACAGCTGATCCCATCTTCTTTGTTGTTCCCTCCAATGTCTACTCTGGGATCTTAGGCTGTGTTGTCCTACCCTTCTTAAACCTTGCCTCCCTGTTTGTTGATAACTCCTGGATCTTAAATCCCATTTCACTTGGTGATCACTCCTTTCTACCAGTTGGCATGTGCTCTACCTGGTTCATCTCTGCTGTCTACAATGAATAGGTCAGAGTCTTACTCTTCAGATCATTCATCTACTCGAGTTTCCAGTTTGTCAGTTTTTCCTCAGCCAACTATACCTGTCTTTTGAGATGACCATACCTGGTATCCTCAAGTAGTGTATCAGTCTTTGGATTTTTCAAGGCATCATCCAGGCCATGTTGCTTGCTCTGCAAAATTGCCCAACAGACTGACTGACTGCATTGCTTTGTCAAGTTCACCACCATCTCCTCAGGCAGACCATCTCCATGGGGGAACTCTAATCTTCATAGGTTTACAGGATGCCTATCTGCATGTTCCCATCCAATCAGCATGGGAGAGATATCTATGCTTTGCAGAGAATGGGAGACTCTTCCAGTTCAGGGTTCTTCCTTTTAGGAAAACCATCATCCCCTAGCTATTCACTGTCATCACGACTTCAGTGCTAGCCTATCTCTATCTTCAATGCATCCAGATTCACAGATAGCTGGAAGATTTCCTTTGCCCACTGCACAATGACGTAAGTCCCAAAGCATTCAAAGTAAATTTAAACTTACCAGTGTTTTAATTGTAGAATATGTGTCCTTTTAATGTATGGCTAGATATTGTCTTAATTGCTAACACCTGAAAGGATTACGTAAATTTAGCTTGGGTCCATGCAGGAAGCAAAAGTCCCTATAATCCCTAGTATGGCAACCTACCTTCAATTGTTGGCAATCTATAGCCTGTTTTTATATTGTACTGTCATCTATATTTAAAGTGTTTTGCGTTCATTACTAGTTATGAATTTATATCTGTAATAAACTAGTTGTTTTACTGTCCTTTGTTGACAGCTTTTTATGAATTACCTTTTATTATTATGAATCTATAACTTGATATAGTCACGTTATGGATGAAATACTGCCGTGGTGGCTTAAAATATTAACTCACTCACTCAGTGCACAATATCCTGTATATGCTCTCACAATAATTATTGTCACCTTTGCAGTCAAATAGCTGACAAAGTTTCATGTTTTTGACCTCCTGTATAACTTAAATACCTTCTACATTTTTGTTTACATGCTAACACAGATGGCTCATTATCTTGACAGAACAGTATGAAATTGTACTATTGACTCTCAGATTTTACAATTGTTCGTCTTTGTTAAATGAATGTGCTGCTTGCTTCACTTAAAATCAGAGGCCATTGCCTTAGAATGACAATTTCATTTGATGACGGTTTTGTCCAGTATAGTGAGTACAGTGAGTAACAACCTTTGAACAACAGTATTTCTCTTCCAGGGTTGTTTTGCATTTTGTGGGTAGCATGTTTCTCTTTAAGTAATGGGGGATAGAGGTGATCCAGTCATATGAGGCACTGCAGTGTGCTGTGCAGAGCTGCGTCCTTTGGGCATGTCAGAAACCTGTGACTCAGGGTTCAAATTCTGGGTCACCCCATTTATGTTTCTAGGTTTGTCAACACCATACTTGTGTTCTTTGGTTTAACCAAACAGGTTAACTCCAGAGATCTGCATCACTTTCGGCTTTCCTACCATATTTAGCTAAAATGCCGTTATGTAATTTCAGTGCTGTTCGCAGTGTTAAACACAACTCGCTCGGTCTTCCATTCCGAAATAGGGGTGTACATTTAGTTTGTTATATCTGATACCATGAAGTGCCCCTCTTTTATCTGCAAATGTGAACAGATCTCCTAGCAATTAACATAAGATGAATTGGGCCGGTGGGGTAGGCCAGTGCTTAAATTGTACGCTCATCACATCCAAGACCCGGGTTCAATTCCCCACATGGGTACAATGTGTGAAAAAGCAGCATAAAACCAAACTCACTCACTCAATTAATATTAAATCTCAATGGTTACATGCATTATATCCATATAAGCAATTGCATATTGCTCAGTAAATAAATAAAAGTACAAGTATGCTATTTAGCCTGTTACCATTCCTCATAGCAGAAGATGTACTTTTGAAATGTGCGATTAAGTCATTTATGAAGCAATGAGACTTTCATTTGTCAATATCACAAGCAAAATAATTTAATTGATGCATATTCCAGAAAATACCAACAGCTGTCATCTGAAAGAAGAAGCTTCAAGAGCCTATTTATACCTCTATGTCCAAACATGTTTGGATGAGAACAGCAATTCTCGGAGCTGATGGAGCAGCAGGATTAGATCTTCCTTCTGCTTCTAATTCTTGTAAAGTCAAGGCCATGGCTTCCTCAATTGTTCTTCATGGCAACTGTTCCATCCCATCAATTAGGGAAGCCATCTGGAGTAACTTCTTATTTTACCAGAAACAAGGTGGTGACCCATATATCAGAAGGAATATAAGAGAAAAAGAAGAACTCACATTCCCAAGGGGAATCAGAACTGATATAGAGATTACTAACGAGTGTCTGTAAGATGACATTTATCTTACAAAGAGTTGTTTCAAAACGTATTTAACGAGTGAAAACAAGTGAAAGCAAGTTGAATACATTTTGAAACAACGAGTTGTAAGA